TCAAACATTGGATCCTCTTTAAGCCTTGACACAACCGAGTGTGTTGAAGGACATCCCGATTAAACAATAATTTTTAGGTGACTTCAATCCCTATCAAATTTCAAAGGGAAAATGTTTAGAGGGAGTCGGGTGACCAAGTCCGTTGAAGTGGAGCTTGGAGATTCAATCGGAATTGGGAGATATGACCGGATCTTTTTACGGGTCGGGTCATAGTGGTTTAATCTCTAATTTCTCTCTCCTTCGTGATTGGTTCTCTCTCTAACTGGTATGGATTGACCGATCTAATGATGATACACATATGGTTGGTGTTGATCGGGGTCAAAACGGACCGAAAAACGATCAATTGGAGGATGAAACATTCGACTAGGTAAACGGGTTTCGTGTATGGGTTAGGACGTGTTTGGCCTTTTTTTTTGGGTTTTCGGTATTTTTTTCTTTTTCTTTAGCTCTCTCACTTGTGTTTTTTTTTTTTTGTCTCCCTGCAAACCAAAATTTAAAGCTTTTTATAGGTCGAAACCTCTTAAAATCGCTCCCAAAATCGGATCATTTAAATTCAAACTCCAATTGTCAAATCTTAATTTTGAGTTTTGATTAGCTAAAAATAAGGAGATTCCAATTTAAAAAAGATTAGTGGAAGATTTTGACGGATCTTCGAATGATTTTAGGGAGATTCGGTATTTTTTTCTTTTTATTTTTATTTTTCAAGTAAACCTTAAAATTGGGTTATGACATCCTTATTATTAAAAATTCGATCCTTATGGTCTCTTTTTTCTTTTATTGTTTATGGATAATAAAAAAATTTCATACCGAGTTTTCAATCAATCGAAACTAAATTTTTTATTTTATAGATGTTTTGGTCAATTCTAAAAATTTTATTTTTTAAACTTATCAGCCCCTTATATTTAGTGGAAAAAAAAACTTATAAAAAAAAACAAGAATCGAATGTCTTGATATAGTAAATCTAAAATACTCTTTTTCCTGTTTCATACTCTTTTTATTATTTCATCGACAATTTGAGTGATTGCTTATGCTCATTTTTAACAATAAAAGCATCTTAATATCATACAAAAGCTTATATTATTATTGTTTTTAAAAAGTATAGGTTTGAGTTCGACTTATGATATTGTAGTTATTTCTTGTTAGTCGGAAGATTCGATAGGTTTTGATCTAAACAATAGCTAGGGCTCGTAATCCTTATTTTCTCTCATTTCTAGAAACCTATCGCATCCACACTATAGTTTGAATAGAGGACCTTGAAGTAGACAGCTTAACCTAGATTCTAACTCTGTAATGTGTTACTTCAGACTTGTTTAAGAGATGAACGACCCTAAATTTTTAACATCCAAGTGACGAAGGACTTTTTAAGCCCCCTTCTCGCCCCAGACTTGTTTTTGCCTGTAATGCTTAATAGCAATGACAAACCCTATATATATATAGAGAGAGAGAGAGAGAGAGAGAGGATATGTAATCAATTCTTTTGGTAATATATAATTTATTTAATATGGTGATATGCAAAAGTTCCAAACTATATAGATCATCGTCGCAAACTTTTGACAAGGATTGGCGGGAATGGCTTGCTGTCAACTTAAATTGCAAAAATCTATTTTTTGGCAATGTGTCATTGGATGTGTGGTTTGGAATTGGCATCTGGCTGCTGTGGCCCTAGAGAAATAAATAACAGCACCTAAAATATAAGTAGTTCGAGACTATTACAGATAATACCTTATGTTTTTAATGCAATGAATATTCGACATCAAACCTCATGTAATCATTATCTATTTAAATAGTTATTAATTGTCGCGAAAGCTTATTCAATTTTTTTTAAAGTCTACATATAAAAATTTTCTAACTTATATTTATTTAAAGAACATAATCATTATAACCTATCAATTTGCTAACAATTCTTTTAATAAATGTGTAAATATGATACCTATAAACATGCCTAAAAACTCATACTTAAAAAATCTAACTTAAATATTTTTAAATAATACATTGGATTGAAATTAAGCTAATTGCTCCTTTAATTTTCTTCAAATAATTATATATAATTCAATTAAATTAAATTGATCATCATTATGAAATAGTTAATCTTATCCTTTGATTATTTAACAAACTAATTGAACATGAATTCTATTATTTCCTCTAAAATTTCGAATTTGACTAATAAATAACTCAATTGACCTTTGTTGATTAATTATCATTCAAAATACCTAATGCAATCAGTTAACTTGATTAAAAACTCAATTTAATTCAGTGCAAGCTACTTAAGTTGTTAAGCCTTTTGGAAGTTAATTTTAATTTAGAAAACTCCAATTATTTAAATAATCCGTATCAATTAAAAATCATTTATACATTTTAATCCTTTAACCCTTTTATTAACTTAACTTCCAATTCCCATTTGATTAAATAAATTTATTAATTAACCATGAATTAACCTGCCAAACCAATTAATGAATTTATAAATATCTCAAAATATTTATTTATTCATTTATGTTCTAAATTAACAAAGATATCTAGACCATTTAAAATGAAATAGGTTAAACTAGTATTGATTTTTACCGTACACTTCAACAAACTCCTTTAACTCATATCACTCCAACTTCATCATCAACTTCACATCCGAGTCTTGGTACGTTCTTGAATACCTACACCACAAGATAACTTAATGAGCTTACGCTCGGTAAGTGTAATCATATATACATATCATGTATGCATAATGCATGATGAAATAAAATACATTTTCGTGACTCTAAAATATATTTTCTATGATCGGGTGCATCCTAGCAAATATATTTATATATATTCGACCATTTATGAAAACCATGTCCGTGAAAACATGAAAAGCACTAGACAAGTCTCTTATGAAATCTGTGATTTTTCCGTGAATCATATGAAGCCCATGAAGAGTTTACACTAGATTATTCTCTTTGTGTGCCATGATTGTGATTGGGACATGCCTAGCCTTTTTTTTTTTAATTCATGTACTTGATTTTAATTTTGAAAACATAAACGCGATGGAAATTTTTTCATGACGTGCACGAAATGAATGACATAATATATAATTTAAGACCATGAAATCCATGACATAATATATAATTCATGACCATTAACTAGTCAATAAGTCAAGTCAAATACCATTTAACATAAATTCTTACTTTCACGGAATACCAACAATACATGGAAACAATAGCAAACCATTCCATGAACATCAAGATCACAAAATCGTCTTTAGCCCAAATTCAACAATGAACCATAATTCTTTGCTAAGTTCAACGTCAAAACTATTTATTTTCCACATGAATTCATTACCAAATAATTATGTCACTAATAACTTACACAATCATCATTCAACATAATAAAACACATCAACATATACAAATAACTAGCCTTGGCCCAAAATACCAAAAGCAAACCATGGACATTTAAACTTATCTTAGCCATAATCAAACATGTAAACTAATCAACTTTTATCTAAACATGTCATCATTCAATTTGAATACTCTAATATTAATATGGTTATCATTAAACACATTTAAATTATACTAATTTACTAAAAAATCAAATTTGGTTTAACATGCTCTAAGATTCTAGATTTGTTTCCAACATAACAACAACCATTTTAAAGCTCCTAAACCTTATTTTAACCTAATTTCATCTTTTAGTCATTGATCTAATACATGATTCAACACAAATCAATCATCAATTAATTCAACCTCATCTAAACTTAGGGCTTTGGTTGAATTAACCAACAAGATAATCAATACCATTTCTTCATTTTATCATATCCAATTTAACATGTAAACATCCAATCAATTTAATGACATTAATTAATCCTAATGAAACCAATTACTTCTAATTACACCTATTAATGCCATTAGTCTAAATTCAAGGATTATGGCCAAAACGATCAACAAAGGCAATCGAGCTAAATTTATCCATCAAACACCCTTAAACATACATAACCCATCCGAAGAACATAAATCATGGAACCATGATCTTCTCCTAAAATTCCCAACATGGTAGAAACTTCTCCATCAAATACCCAACCTTAATTCATCAATCCAACTTCAATTAGATCATCAAACATGATCAATCAACCTTACAAATATGATTTTAATCACAATTCATCTCAATCGATCAATTACAACAAAACCTAAATAATTGAACAATTAATTCACTAATTCAAATCTTTAAAACATTAATAATCAAGCATCAATTTAATACTTTATTGTGATGTAGAGAGGACTACACTTATCTCACTTGATGCTTAAAAAATCTCTTTCTTGATGGCTTAAATTTCCTTTCCCCTTTCCTCCTCCCAAGTTTTGGCCAAATCTTCTATTTTTCCTCCTTTTTTGACTTCTTCTTAAGGTGATTTTAGGTTGAATCTAGAATAGTTTAGGTGGTTTTGGGTGATTGGTAGGCTTAATTTTATTTGAAATGGCTTGAGTTTCCTTTGTTACGTCTTGAATCTTTGGTTGCTCATCGCGCTCCTCTTTTCTCTTCTTGGTCGAATTCATAAAAAAGATTTTTCTTGTGATTTTGCCAAGTGTGAGACACTTGGTTCCATCTCAAATCCCTTCGATCAATACTTTCTTTAGATTTCTCTTAATTTTTCTCATTTTCTCTTTGATATTTTTTTCTTCTTATTTTGCCGACTTAACTTGCTCTCTCTTTCTCTTTATTTCTCGGTTTAGATATGGTTGGAGAGGACCAATTCCAATCGAATTAATTGGTCCTTCAATTCATCAAAATTTTATATTTTGATCCCTAAATTTTTTAATTAATTCAATCGAGTCTTTCAATTTCGGTTCCTAAACTTCTAATTTTCAATTAAGCCCTTATGTGATCCATACGCTTATTGTATTAAATGATTTAAACTTGCACACTTAAGCACTTAATAATTCATGCATAAACATAATTTTCATGCTATTATAAAATATTAATTTCACATTTTTAAATAAATATTGACATACATATAAATGTCTAAAAAATTTGAGGGTGTTACAATCTTTGGGCAAGATTTCCATCCTCCTTCCTCCCCCGATGATTGTGTAACCACCATTGCTACTTAGATTATGGAAAGTCGTCAATCTGCATTGTAAGTTTTCCAAACCTACTTGTTAAACTAAAACCTGGATTCGGTGCAATTTTCCTAGTTTTGAGTTTGTGAATTGAATATTAATGGCTTTTTTAAGCCATTATCCGGCAAGGCTTTAGCAAGGGGCATTTTGGGTGATTATAATGGTTTGTGGTTGGAATACAATCATAAAGTTAAAAATACCAAAGATTCCTAAAGGCATCCCATCCGAAAAACTTCCTCGACCAATTAGATAGATCAAGAAAAAAGTAGTAGCCATCGTAACGATAGCTGAATATAGAACGGTGATTCAAGGACACATATACGAGAGGAAAACTTAGTTCCCACTCATGCTCCATGGAAGGATTTGCTTACAATGTTAGGTTTCTATCCTTTATGCTGAATTTTATAGTTTGCTTTTGGGTCTACAGGTTTGTTATGATAGAGAATTATCATAAAATTATTATGGAAGCTAGCTTAAAGTTGATTGCTTGACTTCATATTTATATGATAATGATGATATAAACTTTTTCTTCTTAAGGGAAAAGAAAATCAAATGAGTTATTTCGAGAAGAAAAAAAATTGAAGGTTTACTTGATTCGTAAAAATTGAAGAAGTTAAGAATAAAGTGTAAGGCTAACATATATTTTGTATGATAGTGAACCCTTTAAATAGAGTTTTAAGGATAGAGTTACGAGTTATAGTCAAACTACGAAAGCTAGAGCTATTGTTACGAGAGACTAACTTGTGTCTAACTTTTAACCGGATATATACACTTAAAAGTTATCCTTATCATCCTCTCTCAAGTCGAGCGGGTGGAAGAATGGTCGACTTGGCAACTTGATGGATGAATTTTCATTTATGAAGGAACTTAGTCATTACATTAGCTAACTAATCCTTAGTAGATATATAGCGTATAAGTAGTTCTCATTTGTTGACTTTGCCTCGAATAAAGTGGAAGTCAATCTTTAAGTGTTTTGAACGAGCATGGAATATCGAATTAGCCATGAGATAGGTTCGTTGAAAGTTTATCACTCCATAGGATAAGTCGTTGTTTGAAATGAAAACCCAATCTTATGCGGGAGTGATTGTAGCTAAGTGACTTTAGATGATATAGTTGTTAGGGCCCGATACTCGGCTTCGGTAGAGGAACGAGTAACTATCCCCTACTTGTGTGATGTCCAAGAGATAAGCTTGCTTTTAAAAAAAAATGACAAAACTTATAGTGCTCTTTCTATCAACCGGGTTACCTCCCTAGTCGGCATTTGTGTAGGTCGACATATGGAGAGAAGATAATGGGGTGATGGATAGACCATGAGATGTTGTACCCTTAAGATAACGAGAGAATGCTCCAATGCTCAATGGTAAGGGCATGCATAAGCCGAAGCGAGCACAATTGATGGCAAATGAGACATCCGGTCTTATTAAGGTCATGTATTGTAAGCCATCAATAATGTTTCTAAAGAGTAGGATTGTTAAAAACACCGTTATCCGAATTATGGGAACGGGGACTTTTCGGTGTGGCTACCGTGGTAGCATAAAGCATATATGCCTATTTTAAAAGATCACAAATGTATCCGGATTGGTTTAGGTGAATTTTTCCTTTTTCCTAGTCACCTCTATGCCAAAGAAGTAATTTACGGAGCTAAGGGCCTTAATAGGGAATTTGTTTTGAAGTCCGAGTGATAATGTTCTTGATGAGTGCATGATTATCGCCGGTTAGGAGCAAATCATCAACATAAATTAGGTAGTAGATTTTATTTACACCATGATTATAGAACATGTGAAAGGTATCGGTTTTGGAACCCATAAAGCCCAATTGGTAGAGTCTTTTGGTTATGTTGTTGAACCACATATAGGGGCACTGTTTGAGGCCATAGATGGATCATTTTAGGGCACATACATGGTGGGAGAAGCGAGGGTGAACGAAGCCTAATGGTTGTTCCATGCATACTAGAGTGTCTAGTTACCTATGTAGGAAGGCATTTGAGATATCTAATTATTCCGCATGCTAATTATATGTCACTAACAAGGAGAGTATGAGTCAAATTATGCTTGGCTTCACTACTTGGATTAAAAGTATCGAGCATAATCAAGGTTTGATCACCGATGGAAGCCTTTAGCCACCAATCGAGTCTTATATCTATCAATATCACCATTGGGCGGTTGTTTGATATGGTAGAGCCATTTGTAACCAACTATATTTAAAGCTTGAGGATGGAGAACAAGATCCCAATTACCATTAGTTAAGAGGGCATCAATTTTTTCTTGCATAGCTTACCTCCAAATGGGATTTGTTTTTGCCATGGTATAGGACGTGGGTTCGATAAAGAGAAAATGGCTAAGAAATGTTTTGGGCTTAGTGTTTTCTAATTTAGTTCGGTTGATCGTTGGGTGACATGGAGGTAGTGGTCGTCATGGTTTTGGTGGAGCTAGGTTGGTATAAAGATCGGTTTACAAGAAGAGGTGATCTAGAGTTGGGTGATTGAAAGATCTAGTTGTATCTTGTTGAGCGATCATGAGAGACTGGTTGGATAGATTTATGTGTTAGGGTATGGCTATTTATGAAAATAGTACGTATGGGTCAGGTGAGACTAATTGTTATGATCGAAAAGCAAGGGTGAGCAATGTTAATTGGCGAACCGAAACGAGTAGGTGTGGGGAGTTATCAAGAGAGGTTATTATAGGTTGGAAGACAAGGGTGGACGAGTGTTGATTGAGGAGCTGGAACAGGTGGGGGCAAAGGAGCTATTTGGTAGTAAAGGAAAAAGGATAAGAGTACGTGAATTTTGTGTAGAGGTGGAAGTCTTGACACCTGGAGGAGGTAGCACCATCACTAGCTTTTTTGAAATGAAAGGCATGTTCATAAAAAATAATATGACATGAGATGTATAGCTTATTGGAGGAAATATCCAAGCATTTATACCCTTTATACAATAGACTATAGCCAAGAAAAACACAATGATGGGAATGAGGCTCCAATTTATTTTTAGTATAAGGTTTGATCCATGCCATGGATAACAAAGACAATCAAACACACGTAAATAATCATAGTTAGGAGTTTCTTGAAACAAAATTTCATATGAAGATTTATGATTAAGTAATGGGGTAGGAAGACGATTAAAACAATAGACAACGAGTAAAAAATACATGGTCCCAAAAGTTTAAGAGAGTGGATGCATGATGAAGCAATGCTCGGCCAATTTCGATAATATGTATATGTTTTCTTTCAAGCACAACCATTTTGTTATTGTGTATAAGGACAAGAGGTGCGTTGTATAACCTATTTTGAGCTAAGTAGTATTATAGGTTTTAAATTCACCCCCAATCGGCTCGAAAGATTTTGATTGGTTTATTGAAGAATTTTTCAACCAGTTATCAAAATTTAATAAAACAGTTTAGAACTTCGGTTTATATTTGAGAAAATATACCGAACTATATTTGCTATAATGATCATAAAATACAATACAATATTTGTGAGCTTGCATATATGGAATTGGGGATGGGCCTCATAAATCGAACATATAATTTCTAAAGGAGCGATTACTCAAGAGGTAGAAACAAAAAGGGGAGTTAGTGTGCTTTGCTAATGCAATAAGTATGACAAAACAAGTTTGCATTCTTATGTGAGACCGAGATACTAAACCGACTCAAAAATTTAGCTACTATGCCATGAAAGCATGGCTTAATCGAGCATGCCATGTAGTGAGACTACATGAGGTGCTTGAATAGGAAAACGAGGAGAGAGATGATTCAAATGGCACTATATAAAGGTTGTTATCGAGAGGTCCGTTATAGAGGATTTTCTTCGTGTGGATATCCTTGATTGAGAAACGATCAGGAAAAAATTCCAAAAAAACATGGTTAGATCCAATAAAAGAAGAGACAACTAATAGATTTTGACAAGTTTAGAGATTATGATCGAGATTATAAGAGTAATTTTATAGAGTGAAAGAAGAAGAACCAATATGAGAAATAGGAAGGGTATTACCATTGCTTATTATGACCTCATCGGGACCAATGTATTCAAAATGAATGGCCAAGTTATCAAAGTTAACCGTGAGTTTATACATGGCTCCACTCGTCGAGGACCCATTTTGGATTGGTTTGGGTGGAGGTGAGATGAGATGTAGAAGTAGGGAGGAGTGGTGGATGGGAATTATTGGAGTATTTAAGAGATAAGTAGGTGGAATTAAGGTGCCTAACACCATGATAATTGTCGTACACCGATGCGATGAAGGCGATTGAAGTGTGATGCTTGCCATGGTTGTTAAGGTCGATGAGAGAAGGGGTGGTTAGAGGATCAACCATACCCTTCCAGGCGACCTCTATCATGAGGGATGAACTGTTACCTTTAGACATAATTGGCGTAGGTAATATTTCGGATAGAAAGAGATCTGTTTCTTTTTTTATTTACATCTCTTCACTTAAAAGTGGGCTAAATAGGTCATCAAAGCTGATTGATTAGAGGTGAGCTTCGATATTATAAGTAAACGGCTCGTAAGTAAGCCATAATCTATTTAAATGGCATCAACAAGATCATCTTCTTGAAGGATGGTGTTGTAGGGCAACGAGTTGATTAGAGATGTGCTTGGCACACTTGCATGTAAGTGGTAATATCATCATTCTTACGATCCAGTTGGTAAAGGTGAGATTTTAATTGACGAACATGGGATTGAAATCCTAATGCATAGGTAGTAGTCAATTTTTATCAAGCTTCACGAGCAGCTTTAGCACCAACTACTTGAGAGATAACTCCTTCGAGAGAGAGATGGTGATCCAGTGAAGTACTTAGCGATCTTTGACAAACCAATCTAGGTAAGTGGGGTTGGAAGCCCCATCAATTTATGTAGGTGGTGGAGATTCAAAGCCATCAACATAGGTCATAATCCTATACCTTGAAGAATGGATGTGATTTGGGTGAGCCATAGTAGATAGTTTGTGGAGTTGAGCTTGAAGGATAATTGATGTTGAACATGGGGAAGGGTGGTAATTAAGGTGATGGATGGAGTGGGTGTGTCAATGGGCGGATCGGTGGATTTGGAAGAGGTAGAAGATGTCATGATTGGTTAAAGGGAGCGAGTTGATAGCAGGTATTGGGGTCGTGGGTTGTGAGAAGAATATCACATTTTACTTGTTTTGGTATGTGAGTAAGGAGGGCTGGTGTGTGATTTGGTGGAGAAGTTTACGTGGCGACGAGGTGTGATATTGAAGGGAATATAAGGGACGGTTTGGAGATGTTGGCAATAGCACACATAGGAAAGAAATAAATGGTTTGGTGATGTTGGCAGTAGCCCACGTATGAGGAAAAAAAGAAAGAAAAGTAAAGTGTTTGTTATCACTCACTCGTTTAGGCAAAAAGGAAGAGGAAGTTCATGTGTTAATTGGTAAGCTTTGTAGGCTACGATACTACGAAGAAGTTGAGAATAAAGTGCAAGGCTAACATATATTTTGTATTGCGATAGAACCCTTTAAATAGAGTTTTAGGGATAGAGTTACGGTTATAGCAAAACTGCGAAAGCTAGAGATATTGTTACAGAGACTAACTCATTTATAGAGACTAACTTGTATCTAACTTCTAACCGAGATAGATACACTTAAAACTTGTCCTTATAAAAAATAAGTGTTCTCTCATCTCGATCACAAGTTCATTTATACGATCATCTTGCAAAAACTCTTTTTTCTCTTTTAACTTTTCAAGTTTTAATGTACACAAATCTATATTTATTTACATCTTAATCATAAAAAGAAAAGAAAATAAATTAAAGTGACATCCTTAAAAGGATTAAATGAATGTTATTCATAACTTACAACTTTAAATCCAATAAGATTAAGCGTCCCTCGAGGGAAAAAAAAGGGAGTGGACCCAAGGAACTTTACCTCGTGAACATTCATGTCCGACATAAATAAAGGTTTTATGGACAGCCTATTGAAACGTATCGTGGTGGTGGCATGTGGAGCGCTCCAAACAACCGTGTCTCCGGCTGGATAATAAAACTACACGTGTGAAGCGTCCAAATCCGACACTGCATTTTCCTAAGCAGAGTTTTCTCATCCTCGTGTCGCATGCCAAAAAGAGCTAGGTTAATAATGATTGCATGATCCCTTTGCTCTAATTTTCGTTGCTATCGTGTTTTTTTTTTTTTTAATTCGTCTATTTATATTGGTTTTTTTTTTTATCTTAATTGTATTTTTTAATTAATTTTTTGAGTTAACAATATGAAATCTTACTTTTAATATTATAGGATTACCACATGCGTCTATTTTTTTAATATTAATCTTGTTTCTCTACTTTTTTTATAAAATTTAAATAAATAATATTTTATAAAAAAGTGAATGTGAATTTTTTATATGTAATATATCTTTTACAGATTTAAATTTATCTGTAAGAAGCAAATTTAAAATATAAAATAAAATATTTATAATATTACTTTTTAATTAGGGTCTTGCATAGTTAATTACAAGTACTTTTTATACACAGCATAGTTATTATCCATAAACGCATTCGAGAAATTTATAAATTAGTCTCTTTAGTTTAGCAAAACAAATTAAATAGTTCGTTTTGTTTTAAAAATTAATTAATTACTTATTTAATTAGTATTTATTATAATTAATTTAATATTATCTTGTTTTAAAAAAGTCATATTTTTTTTATCTATCTTTCATAGTATTTACTTTATATATATATATATATATATATCATGAAAAAAAAAACAAAAGAGACTAAATTAAAAATAGATTTAAAATTATATGAATTAATTATTTATTTAAAAAAAAACTATTTAATTTATTTTACAAAGCTACTAATTTATAATTTACTCTCCACACTTCATATCCGTAATTGGTAAACATTGTAAGCCAAACAAACTATTGAGGTGTGAAGGCGTGATTAACATCTTCGATTGGTATTTATATATTTATAGGTTAGTTTTCGTATACCAAACTCAAATTCTTCTGATAACTAAAGCTAAGATGTGGAGTTTATATGGATCTCACATCTAAAACTAAAAAACGAACGAATTTGGAATGTTTCATATATTTGAATCTAGATCTTTTCTAGTTTTTTTCCCCCTATGCAATAACTCTTTTAACTAACACGTCCATCGTTAAACTACAACCCAATCTCTAAACTAAACAAATCGTAATTTTTATTTATTTTTAGTTTATAGGTGGATCATTCAGATTGAAACATGTGTATAATTACACAGTACAGAGATATATACGTCACTTTAACTAACACCTCAAATATTTTTGTTTTTGTTTTTTTTCGTTAATACCCTAGCGTGGCCTTATATAATAGACTAATTTTTCAATCTGCTTTTAAAAAAAACGTCTTCAATCTGTCCTTATATTTTGAGCTAGTTTATAATTTTTTTGCTCATATTTTTTGGTCAATTTTCAAAAATCAATCTTATATCAATAAAGACATATCATATATGCTAATAAATTTTTTTTATCAAATTACATATTATATGTAAATCACATACTTAATTTGACTAAAAATTTCAACTAAAATGATATATTAGAAAATAGTTTAAGATGTAAGAACCTATTGAAAGTTTTTTTTTTTTTAATAACGGATTGAAATTTTTGTCTATTGTAAAAGGACAAATGATGATATTAACTTTTATATATATATGATAACGTCCCAGATTTAAAATTGACTAGATTTAGAATTGAGATTTAAAATCTCCTCTTCAACATCTAACAATCTTTTTTTTTTTTAATTTCTTATTACCACTGTACATTCTCATAAAACTACAAAGTGTAATTTAGGTCGAGCTAGTTAATTTTCATATGTACAGTAATTAGAGGATTTTAAGAGTAATATAGAAGTTAATTTTCTACTCATTTGCAAAGGAGACTCGGGCTCAAATAATTTCTTCATATGGTAATTCTTTTCTCAGTTGTTGACGTGGGGAATAGCAAAAGATAACAAAGTTTATTAATTTTTGAAAACCTTCAAAACAAATACAGCAATAGTCCGAAGGAAAAAAATGTAAAAACATCTCAAGTTTTATTCATTAAAATCCATATATCTAAAGGCTACTGCAACTGTTTATATAAAAACATATAAAAACTCTAATGATACTAAATATAAAAAGTCAATAAATTAAAAAATTATGATAATTTCTAAATAAAATCCTAAAATTCTTTCAAATTACACTTTAATAGTAATTAAAATAATCAAAGAAGGAAAATCTCAAACCAAATTGATTTTGTCTCTCTTCAGTCACCTCCAATTTTTTTTTATATATAAAAACTTGTGCTTAAGTTTATCATATAAATGGAACCCCTGCGTAGATTTGTAGGAATAGATTGAATAAGGTAAATTTTTGTACTTGTCCTTTTTGTCATCTCGAAATATGTTTGCATTTATCACGAAGACATCATTACTTTCCAAATTCATTCAAAACTCATATCGAGTTACTCAAAATAAAGATCAAATCTCCACTCTTGAGGTCTTAATTTAAATGCTCCAGATAACTTATATCCCTTGATTAATATCATTAAAATGTTTGCTACCACTTTGTCCACCATTTAAGTTAATCCTGCTCTTATACCATTTGACGCAACATACTCTAGTCGGATCAATTCTGCTCTTATACCAACTGACATAACAAATAACAAAAGATAATAGGATTTATTAATTCTCAAAAACACTCAAAACAAAACTAAGCTATAGTACTAAGAAAACATGCCAAAAAGACCTTAAATTGCATTTATCAAAGTACATATGCTTAAAGGATAATACAACTATATATATATATATATAATCCCAATGATACTAAATATAAAAAGTCAATAAATAAATAAATCAATCAAAAGATTATTCCAAGTTAAATTGATTTTATCCCACATTAGTTGTATAAACATTTCTTTCGTGTGTAGTGTTAGAGAAAAATTTTATATACATGGCTGCCACATCAACCTTATCAAGTAAATAATTATGTAATTAGTTGAATAGTTAGTTAGCTAGTTATGTGTTAGTTAGCTAGCTACTTAAGTTAGAAGAAAACTTTACTTTTGCTTCCTATAATATAAATAGATCTAGATACAACTCTTGTATTGTAATGAGAGATTCACACAAAAAATCCGTAACTACTTTTCTTAATTGGAATAAGAGAAGTAGACCATTTTTCTTCTCACATGATATCAAAGCCTAAAACAAGTTAGATTTCGCTTCTTCTTCTTTTATTATTGTTGTTCTTCAAGAAATTTTTGGTTCATCAATGGCGTCTTCTTCTTCAATTTCTTCCATGAAGATCGTCAATCACCTTTTTATCTTCATCAAACTAAAAATCATAGCACTTGTAATAGTTTCTCCCGAGCTTGTTTCGAGCAATTATACTTTCCGAAGTATCTTCTTTTTGCTTGCACCGCCCATTCATAACAAGACTCGGTTTTGTTGATGGTTCAATTGCTTCTCCAGCTAGAGATGATCCCTTGTTTGGACCATGGCCGAGATGTAATATTCTCATTATCTCTCGGCTTCTTAGGTTTATTTCACATTCAATTGCTGCAACCATTTTCTACATGGGTTTAGTAGCGTAAATTTGGAAAGTGCAAAAGAAAAGCTTCTCAAAAGTAGATGACTCTAAAATTGATAATTTACAAGCATACTTTGTGTGTAATTACTAAGGTAAATTGTATATTGAGGAGTATTTCACCGAGTTGAACTCGGTTTAAAAAGAATTGAGGAATTATAGGTCACCGCCATATTGTGAATGTAGCAAGTGTAGTGTCGAGTGTTTTAAGAAATACATTAATCTACATAAAAAAGATCGTATTTTAATTTTTGAATGGCTTAAATGAGTCCTATGTTGCACTAAGGTCTCATGTGATCATAATGAACCCTTCTCTTCTCTTGATAAGGTTTATAATCCGGTAATTAAGAAGGAATCTAAAAAATGCATACACTCGTCAATTACGACCATTTATAAAATCTTTAGCAATGGCAACTAAAGGTATTTTTCAAAATAAGCCTTGGAATATTTTTGTGTGCACGCATTGTGGAGAAGTAGGTCACACCAAGGATAAGTGGTTTTAATTAATTGGTTTTTCAAACAATCCGGGGTTTACTAGAGGAAGAGCTATTCCATCCGTAATTAATTATGAGTTTACTAAAGGGAAAACTACTCTTACAAGAATCAATTCTATACTTAAACAAGCATCTTTTCATCTATAAACATAACAACTAATTAGTATGACTCATCCTTGGCTAGTGCTATTGTAAAGATAAAAACACAAGTATCATTATCTCAATATCAAATTCAGCATTTGATGGCTATTCTCGATAAGCAAAATGCATCGCCTAAGGCTCCTTCCAATCCTTCTAATAATGTAGGTATTGACTCTTCACTCATAACAAAACAATATCCACCATATTCTTCATATCATTGATGCACACAATTTCCACAGTCTCTAACACATCTTATGAGTAATGCATTCTGGATCATAGTTACAAGAGCTTTAGATCATATAGCATGTAGCTTAATTTATTTTACTTTCTATCATACCATTAATCAAACCTTTGTGATAATGTTAGATGGATCCAAAGCTTTTGCTACACATTCTGGTACCGTGTCTCTGTCTCTTAAATTGTTTTTAAATAATGTTCTGTTTGTTCCCTCATTCAAATTTAACTTCATACTTTTTAGTTAGCTTACAAATAATAAGAAAGTTATTGTTAATTTATTAGCGACTCTTATTTTATTCGAGCAATTCCTTCATAGACAATGATTTGACTTGCTAAGGCTAGAGGAGGTCTTTACTTACCGCAAGTCTCTAATACTCTACTTTAGTTATCATCACATGATAATTCCTTTTCTACATAATTTGGTTATTCTTCCGTTTTTGTAAATAAAGTTAATATCGTTCTTGATGTCAAAGATTGTTTTGATCTTTGGCATTTTTTATTAAAACATTTTTCTTCTAACAAATTAAGAGTCATTCATCAAACTTGTAATGAAGTTCATCTTATGATAAAGTCAAATAAAACTTCATATACTCGTTTGTTCTATGGTTAAGCATAAAAGTATCTTATTTCCTGTTCATACTCAAACTACTACAATTCCATTTCAATTGATTCATGTTGATATCTTGAGCCTCTATTCTCAATCTACCTACGGTAAGTATCATTATTTTCTAACAATAGTTAACGATTTTACTCAAATGATTTGACGGCTTTATTTTAGAAACCAAATCGGATATTAGTTCCATTGTACCTACTTTTTTTAACCTCATTCAAACTTAATTTGGTTTTCATATTAAATGAGTGAGGTCGGACAATGGTTAGAGTTTAGTTTACCTCATTTCCATTTTGAAAAAAGTGTTCTACATCAATTCTCTTATGTGAAAACTCCTTAACAAAATGGTCTCACCGAGAGGAAACATCAGCACTTTCTTATTACAACTAGGGCTTTACTTTTCAAGTCTCACCTACCTATTTCCTTTTAAAAAGATGTAGTTTTAATTATAACTTACTTGATCAATATAATTCCTTCTCCTATACTATAAAACAGAACACCTTATGAATTATTATTCGAACACCTTATGAATTGTTATTCAAAAACCTCATTCCTATAACCATTTAAAAATTTTTGATTGTTTTTGTTTTACCTCTACTTTTACTCGTGGTAGAAAGAAGTTTGACCCTAGATCCATACAATGCATTTTCATTAGCTATCCTAATAGTACGAAGGCTTATAAGTTGTATGATCGAGCTTCCAAATCTATTTTTGTATCCAGGGATACTGTTTTTTATCGGTGTGTTTTTCCATTTTGCTTTAAGACTAGTTCTTATTTAATACCAAACATTATTTCTCCTAATCATTTACATCTTTTTCCAAATATTTTTCCCTATACATTAAACACTTCATCGATTTTCATACTCCAAAACATACAATTCATGTTTCAAGAATCGATTATTCTTTAGAAGGTTTTATTCCTTATTCTAGTCTTGACTAAACTATTGTCTCATTTGATGTGCATGACTCTACATCACATAAATTACCTATCTCTCCACTAAATAACACTTCATCCTTAGGTGTTCTTGTAAAAAGAACAAGTAGAGTTAGTAAACCTCCTTCTTATTTATCCGACTATCAAACCATTCTACCTACCGTCCCTATCACACAGCCTACTTATTTTTCCACTCGCATATCTCATTTATCATTTTATCTCATATGTTAGGTTATCTCCTTCACATATAACTTTTATAGCTTTATTATCTAACCTTGATGAAGCAAAAATATTTTACCAAGTCGTGTAATATGCTCACTAAAAAGATACTATAAAAGTTGAATTTGATGCTTCTAAGCATAATAATACCCGGACTATTATTTCTCTTCCTCATAGGCATTAAAGTGTTAGTTGTAAATGGGTTTATAAAACCGAACTTCTTGAAGATGGTTTTATAGGCAGTTGTAGAGCGTACTAATGGCTAAGGGCTATAATCAGTAGCCAAGGTTTGACTTTCGGGAGACTTTTAGTCCAAGTGGTAAAGTAAACTACAGTTCGTGTTTTTCTAGCTCTTATAAGCATCTCGGGACTAGTCTTTATCACAAATGGATATAAATAATACATTCCTTAATGGTGATTTAGAGGAGACAATTTATATGGACCTTCAATTGGGATATCGAGTCCAACGAAGTTTACACAACCCGGTTGCAAGCTTCAAAAGTCCTTATATAGATCGAAACAAGCATCAAGATAGTGGAATGCCAAGCTTACTCAAGCTTTACTCGTTTTTGGTTTCTCTCAATCCAAGGCAGTTTAATCTTTATTCACCAAAAAGTATCCGTCGATACATTTCTTGCATTACTTGTCTATGTCAATAACATAGTTACTATAGGTAATTGTGAAGCGAGTGTTGATAAGTTTAAAAAGTACTTATATTCTCAATTCAAAATGAAGGATTTAGGAAAGTTGAAATACCTTTTAGGTATTGAGGTAGCAAGATCTAAGAAAAGGATTTCTCTATGTCAAAGAAAGTATATGATTGATCTATTGATCGAGCATGAACTCGTTGGATGCAAAGCCTCAACTCTAGTTGATCATAGTGATAAACTTGTACAAGCAGAATCAGGTTTTCTTGAGAATCCAATTGTGTATAGACAACTTATGAAAAAACTATTATGCCTAACTTTCACTAGACCGGATATTTCATTTGTAACTCAAGTATTTTAACAATACATGGATAAGCCAATAGAAACACATTTGCAAGCAACATTCGGAGTTTTGATGTAATATCCCTATCCCAAAAAAATTTATTGTTTATACATATATGTATACATAAAGACATACATGAATACAAATTAATATACGTATGATATGTTAGAGGGGTTTAAGAAATATATTAAGTGGCTAAGGGAGTTAAGTGTTGAATTAGACTTAGTCGAGGAACTTATTATGAACTTATCAAAATATCTTCTTAAACCTATCCTAGAATTCCCTACACTCTTCTAAAATTAGGTTTTTTATCATTTCCATCACCATGGCCGAATACCCTTGTGAGAAAGAGAAAGAGCTTGAGTTGTTCATAGCTAGTTAAAGAGAAAGGCAAGAGAATAATGGAAAAATTAGAGAAAAATCAAGAGTAAGAGAGGAATCATGAATGAAACCTAGTTTAGCAACCAAAAACAACCTAAATCCATCTTAGAGCAAGAAGAAATTAAGGGAAAGATTGATTTAGAGGAGGTTAACTCAAGATTTAGAGAATTTGAGTCAAGTTCATGATCAATCTTGAACAAAGATGAGGTATTTTATGATTTTTGTTAAGTTCTTATTCTATTTTGATTTTGAATTACATTTTTTTTTGGCATTTTAAGGTTAGAATTTGAGTTTTATAAAAACATGAAAGTTGTATATCATGATCCGATTTAGTAACCTAACAAATTTGAGATAAAACAAATAAGTAGGTTTTCCTCTATGCCTCTCGCCATCTAACTCGTTATGTTATTGGGAAAAAAATTCTACATCAAAGGATGACTTCATAAAATTTTCATAAATTATGTGCTTAAAATTTAGGATTGATTTTTGGATATGTCATAGTGATATGAGGCTAGTGTCATACAAAACTAAAATCGAGTTATTTGGATTCATATTTTGAGAATTTAGGTTAAAAGAGTAAAGAAAAGTCGTCATTATCGAAGGGGTTAAGCTCGATCGGAGTTTCATATTTTTCACTTTTTAGGAGTTTTCGAAGTTCATATATGATAAAATGACTTATGAGATGATCTACATATGTTTTAAACCCCGAGGATCATGAGGTATATGACATAACGCTTCGAAGAGTGACATCGGACTCCATTTTTGTGAGTGGATATATTTTAGATAGTTAATGATTATTTGATGTGATGTTTCCTTGTTTGCTACTTGATATTAGTGACATGTTTCTAAATAATATGATGAATTAGCTTGTATGTGATTCATGATATGACTCATGTATGATGATATACATAAGTATATGTTATATGAAACATCCATTATGTATGCACGATTAAAGGGTTAAGGTTATGACCGACATATTCGAGTATTCATAAATACAAGTTATAAAGACCCGATGGGTCAAATACAAGTTATAAGAGTTGGCTAGTAATACAAGTTTATGAGTTTCAAGTTACAAGTTTTCGAGGCAATATTTAACGTGTTTAGGTCACAACCGATAAGAAAAGGATACATGTAACATGATGATGCATGAACTTGTATGATTTATTTATATGATCTTATTTGATAAAATGAGTGTGTGTTATGATATCAATGATGATTATCCCTTATTTGATAAAAATGCAATTTCATTTTAGGTACCGAAGGGGAGAAGTTAGAGTTTATCTTTTTTGCGATCATCGATTGTTATGACCAAGAGGTCACTCGGCGACCTCCTTCTTCTCTCTCTTATCATGACAAGTATTTGTATTATAATGGAAATTTTGATTGTATATGATCCTAGATGATATAAATGTGACATGATAATAAATAAGAAAGGGTTATGTAAATGAGTTTTGTTTGTATTAGCCATACCTTGCTTATGTGAAAAGAATGATGTTAACTCAAATGTATGTTTAATTAACTAAGAGACATAAATAAGTTTATAATATTACATCCGAGGTACTTGAAACGATCACCTAAAAAGGGTTTGATGTTTTCTTCTCAATTTGATAATAAATTAAAAGCATATACTGGCAATGATTGGATAGGATGTAAGGATAATAGAAGGTCGGTGACTAACTATTCAATTTTTCTTGGAAGGTCTCTTGTTTTTTTGGAACTCTAGAAGTCGACTATGGTGGCAAGAAGTTCGAGTGAGGTTGAATATAAAGCCATGGCTACAACTTGTTGTGAAATGATTTGGTTACCGACTTTATTTGCGGGTTTGGGTTTTGAGCACGAGGAACTAGTTGCACTTAAGTGTGACAACCGATCAATAATATACATAAACAAGAACCTTGTATTTCACGAGAGGACAAAGCACATTGAAATAAATTGTCATTTCATCGAGTAAAGAGGTTCTTGCTTGAATATTGAAGCTAGAATATGTTTTTTCTACCCATGAGCTTACGGACTTGTTCACAAAGCCTTTTCATCTTTCTAATTTCAATTTCTTACAAGCAAGATGAGTATGATTCATATCTATGCTCCTCGAGAGAGAGTATTAGGGGAAAAGTATATGGTTGCCACGTCGGTTTTATCAAATAACTAATTATGTAGTTAGTTGAATAGTTAGTTAACTGGTTAAGTGTTAGTTAGCTAGCTCATTAAGTTAGAAAAAAACTTTACTTTTACTTCCTGTAGTATAAATAGATCTAGATACAATTTTTGTATTGTAGTGAGAGATTCACACAAAAACGCTGTAACTATTTTTTTTATTGGAATAAGAAATATAGATCTTTTTTTCTCCCATGTAGTTTTCATTTTTTTAGAAAAAAATGAAAATCCAAGAATAGAGAACGAATGACGTAATTGCTAATTGAGCTATACGTCCCGAGGTAACATGGGCTCAATAAAAAATAAAAATAAAAAATGTAAAAGACGATGCGTTAGTAATTATGTACGGATAACATCCGTTCCGCACCTTTTGTTGGGAGATATTGTTGAGAAATTTTAAAATCGTGGAGGAGAGATACATAAAAGAAACACATTCAATCCTAGAAAAAAATGATAAAAATATTTTTAATTTGAGTAAAAAAATTTTCTTCAATTTTCTCTTTTTTTATTTTTTTGTTTTTATCTCTATTTTAGGAAATAAGTATTAATAATTAGGTCATAATTGATATAAACTTTCTCGATATTATAAATATGTTTGGATTCCAGTGGCACTCATCTGCTTTTGTTTTATATGATCAGCTGCTACATAAATTGTCTGCTCTTTCATGCTCCACGTGCACTAGAGTTCCTTCTTATCTTTCGTACCACAACTGTTTTCGATAGCCTAAGCATCTTTTATTCGGACGTAGCAATGTAGGTACGTATGAATGTGTGTTTACATATATTTACGGTTTACGAGTACAGGAATAAATATTTTCAGATTAGTTTTTATAAATCATCATTTTTAATCCTGTTAAAAATTATTTTATATTAGGATTAAAAAATTTATAAATTAATTCTTATAATTTTTTTTTGTGTATCTTTATTTCACTTTAAAAATAAAACTAATCATATTTCAAATAAAAATGATAATATTTAACTCTTTTAAAAAATATAAATTCAGGATTTAAATATTATATACCGATAAAATATTGGTTTAAAACATTGATCAGATAAATCGTTGTCTTTAAATTTATTTACTACTGAATCAACAATTATTTATAATTCTTACAAAACATTGGTAATTCTTATAATTGTTTTGTTGATAAATATGGTCTCTTTTCTTTTCGTGTAGAATTGGAATGTTTAAGGTTTAAAACTCAACTCCCAAAATAGGAGTATATCTCTTGTACTTGGTCGGATAAATCGTTGCCTTTAATTTTAAGTTTTAGTAATATCTTTAGGATAACATTTCTCTTTTAAATAAACCTTGACCTGAGTTTTGAATTTTGACGTTGGTAAAGTGAATTCATCCTTTTAATCATCACATTAATCTCTCAAATTATATGATTTTGTGTGTATAAATAAATATTAAAAAAATTTACTTAATAGTTAAGAAATTTTATTCTCTTTTATTTTTTTGAATTAAAAATCTTGAAGTTAATATTGAAAGAATTTTGAGGTTGGTAAATTAAGTGAGATGACCCTTTTAATCATCACATTGATCCCTCAAATTCTATGTTTTGGTGTGTATATAAATTAATAAATATTAAAAAAATTGATTTAACAGTTAAGAAAAGTTTTTCTCTTTAATTTTTTAGAATTAAAAATCTTGAAGTTAATTTTGAAAGAGTTTATTTTTTAAATATACAAGAGTAGTATAAGAAATATGTTTTTAGAATCACTTAATATCGAGAGAGATCTCAATTGATACTAACATACAAGTACATTTTATCGTTCGCTTATATATATAAATATTATTGAAAGAGATTATTTTTTAAATATACAAGAGTAGTATAAGAAATATGTTTTTAGAATCACTTAATATTGAGAGAGATCTCAATTGATACAAACAGACAAGTACATTTATCGCATTGATAAGTAGATAGATAGCAAAATTAATAATATAAATGCTGCGATGACCACAAGTGATATATACACGTGTGTGTCTATGAACTCGCTATTAATTATTTAATACTCAATTTATGATATCTGATGGAGAAAATGGAAAAGATCTCGCATTCTATTTATTTTTTAAATCTAATTCTCAATTTTACTACATATGGACCAGAATATCTTCCGAAACGTTCTCATCTACATATCATAACAATGAAAGAGTGAAAATTTCCACCTAAGCCATGACAACAACACCATTCCCTCATAACAAGAAATATTGAAAAAGGCACCGTCAGTATCCCTCTCAATACACAAGAAAGTCATTTGCAGAATCTATTCAAAGAAAAAGATAACATACTTTTTTTCAAGTTCATCCTACAAGAAAACTTTCTCAAAATGAGTCATCAGTGTGTTCCCAGCTGGGAACTTGATGACAATCGCGCCACAGCTCCCAAGCTCTCCCTTCGCTCCCACTCCAATTCCAGCGCATCAGACATGCCCATGTACTACCTCTTTATCATAGAGGAATACAAGATTGTCAAATCATGTCAATATATATATTTCTTGATGGATTATATATAGTGATATAAGGTACTGTTTTTTGGGCGCAGGTTAGACTACGAAGTAGCAGAACTAACATGGGAGAACGGCCAGCTAGCCATGCACGGCCTAGGGCCACCGCGCGTGCCAGCCAAACCAATAGCATCCACTCCAACCTCTAAGTACACATGGGACAAGCCACGCGCCAGTGGCACCCTTGAATCCATTGTCAATCAAGCCACATGTGTCCCTCAATGCAATAAACAACCTTTTGACAGCACTGCTGGTTCAGACAATGACCTCGTCCCATGGTTTAACCGCCATAAAGCTTCAGCTTCCGCCACAATGACTATGGACGCTTTGGTCCCTTGTTCGAACCAGTCTGATCAAGACCGGACCAAGCACGTGATAGACTCCAGCCCCGCGGGATTAGGCACGTGTTTGGTGGGTTGCTCCACTCGTGTGGGGTCTTGCAGTGCCCCAACCGCCACGCAAGACGAAGAAGGTTTCCTCACTGGGAAACGTGCGACGGTGGCGCGTGTCCGAGTCCCACCTGAGTGGAGCAGAGACCAAAGCGTCAACTATAGTGCCACGTTTAGCAACAAGGATAGCCAGCAAGTGACGGTGGACAGTTGTGAGAGAGAGTTCGGTGTTGGGCTTACCTCCACTTCTTTTGGGTCGCAAGAAAACACGAGCTCAGGCACCAAGCCATGTACGAAGACCCTCACTGCTGATGAGAATGACTCAGTTTGTCACAGTAGACCACGGGCAAGTTACTTTATTTTGGATATTTTGTTTATCATCAATTTATTGTAGTTTTTTGTTGTTGTTAATTTATCGATTTTCTTTTTGTGTTTCAAAGAGGGAGGCAGGTGACGAAGATTACAAGAGGAAAGGAAATGGGAAGTCCTCAGTTCCTACTAAAAGAAGCAGGGCTGCTGCTATTCATAACCAATCTGAACGAGTATGTTCCCTCTGCTGGAAAATGTTTTTACCGCGCGAAATAAATTAATAGAATAATAACAGATTTTTGTTTTGCTTTAAGCTAATAATAATAATAATTGGTTTCTCAGTTTGAGCAATCATGGTGTTTTAAGATTTTATTGAACAAATGATTGGATAACATGGGCGATCTTTTGAGATAATATTAATTAGTTGTTTTTATTAGTAATTTAAAGTTTTATAATAAAACTTTAACTTAAACCCGTGACCTTTTGTGAACTTTCGAAAGAAACATCTTTAACAAAAATTTTTATATAAAAGTTCTATATTACTGAATAAAAAAAAACTTTTTTGGAATTTTTAAAACTGTTTCTTTTTTTATTTTACTTCATAGCAACATATAGGATGGAGTATCTTGCAATTGGCCCATCAACGAGAACCCAACTAGTTCTTTATTATTGTTGTTGTTATTTTCTTTAAAATTACCTAAATATTTAATTACAACTCAACTTTTTAACGCCATATATGTATTTTAGTTAATTCCAAGATAGTATCTGATTCTTATACATCATCATTGCTGGTACTGAAATCTTTTAGTTTTTGTTCAATGTTGCTTTCGATTTTATTGGCAGAAAAGGAGAGATAAGATAAACCAGAGGATGAAGACACTACAGAAACTGGTCCCTAATTCCAATAAGGTACGAAAAGTTTCTTTGGTAGCTTTTCCATATACGAATCTGTTTGTATTGCAAAGAAGCTATTCAAATTTTACCAATGCATTTGAGGCAATACTTCACTACTAGTACATTTGGTGAACCTACCGACTTTGTTTAATAATTATTATTCCTCACCAAAATTGGAGATAGTCACCAATTAATATTTATGTTGTCCATCTTAGTAATTCTTTTATTTTTAATGGTGAGATTATTCTCCAGCCAAGCCAATTTCATATACCGAAACTAAGTCACTTAATTTCTAGATTATTGCAAAATAGTTCTCCACTATTTGATTGATGAATTCCATGTGAAACTTGCCAGTCAGCACCGTGAATGGACTTGAAAGAATCCATCCTCTAATTCAGGGTTTTTATGGGTTTGTGTAGAGCTCATAATATTTATTGTTAGCATAAGATATTGCTGTTGTTCTTCTTCTGTTCTGCACTTTCTTTATTATTAATTTTTTGGTATTATTGTGAGCTTTTCCTTGAAGATTGGAGTTTCGTCTTTACTTTTATATTGCAACAATAATCAATCATTATCCTACAGTATTTGTCATAGTTTGATTAGGCAAATGATTGATTGGCATCTTAGTTTTGGTGAGTTATATTCTTTCCAAACTGCAATTTTTTTCATCCTGATCATTCCATTCACGTTAGGCACTAATTTCCATGAAAAAAAACAAAAAACAGCTGCACACTAACTTTTAACTCTTTAAAGCCCATCTCAAGGTGGTCAGTGAAAATGACCCACCCAGCTTGTTACTTCAAACTTCAAAGTGTGATAAGTAAAACGAAAAGCAAAAAGAAACCCTCATTAAAATCACTACCATCACAAAAGCTGTTCCCATTTTTCTATCACTTATTCTAAAGCATAAGCTAGCCTCCCTTATCTTTGAGCATAATCATAGCTACCTTTCTAATCTTAGTTTTAGTTTGGAAATATCATTATCATTCATAAGAATCATAGTCATTTGCCCCAGTGTCGGCATTGCATATTTTAGGTTTCTTGTTATTCCCACTGCAGAGGACAACTGGGTCACAGAAAGTCTGCCCAACTTGCTACTCAATAATGCGATCGAGCTAGTTTCAGAATTTTTTTTCGGTTTTTTTATGCCGAAAATCCTAGGTTCAAACCATAAGTGAAAATATGCAGTTAGAAGTTCTAAGATTCGCGTCTTACATTTGTCAATCCATCTAGCAATGTTTTTACAAATAGTACCTATCAATATATGTGTGTGTGTAGACTTTCAACGTTTAGATTCATGTCGTATAACGCAGCTGCAGTAATAGCTTCAATAATAAATACTCGAAATAGACAAAAATGTCATAATGGTATCAATGTGGTCCATCACATTCTTTTGCATTCAAATGGCTTAGAGTATCGTGCGACTGATCAAGTGATCCTAGTCCACATACCCAAATCGCCATGGGGACAACATGACAGAAGGTTGTTTGGTATGAAGACAGCTACCTGCTACCACATAAATCCTTCTACTTGTGTATTGTAGGCCCTGATGCCATTGTGTTCATGCATGATTTCGATATACTTTTGTTGTCATTGCCTCATTTATTAGGGCAAATAAAATCTTGACACGAGATGATTTATTTAACTGAGCACTTAAATGAATGAAAACATTATTAATTTGTATATATATATTAGTAGCTGTGATTTATTTGATAAATGTGTTCTTGTTTTGTATTAGACGGACAAAGCCTCAATGCTTGATGAAGTGATCGAATATTTGAAACAACTGCAAGCACAAGTACAAATGATGAACAGAATGAATATGCAACCAATGATGTTGCCACTGGCTTTGCAACAGCAGCTCCAAATGTCAATGATGGCCCCATTGAGCATGGGGATGGCCGGTATGGGAATGGGAATGGGGGTCCTGGACATGAACACAATTGCAGCTCGTTCCAACATGACAGGAATTCCTCCAGTACTTCACCCCACTGCTTTTATGCCTATGACTACATGGGATGGCTCTAGTGGTCATGACCGGATACAAACCGCGGCTGCTTCGGCTACTGTAAAGCCAGACCCATTGTCTGCGTTCCTTGCATGCCAATCTCAGGTAATTAAGCAGCATAAACTTTTAAGTTGGATGAAGGGTTCTAGAAATGTTATTTTGGAGTTGATTTTAAGATTATTAGGCCTTTAAACATTTGTCATGCTTGTACGTGTGGAATTGGGATTTGGGACATAGCAAATGACTACAGCACTTTTTTTAAGACTGCATATATAATATTTTGGAAATTAATGTATTAACTACACTTTTTTGATGCAGCCAATGACCATGGATGCTTACAGCAGGATGGCTGCCATGTACCAGCAGCTACAGCAACAACCTCCTGCTTCTAATTCTAAGAGCTAAGTGTTATAATACATGCTCTGCTCACTCGTGGCTTTTCGAGACAAAATATTGGCTGGCCACGGACAAAAGGCAAAACGGTCTGCCTATGGATGTGATTGTATGATTGCTTGCAAGGTTATACATATGTCTGAGGCAGATGATAGTCTGTTCGATTTATTTAAGCTGCACAGATAAATCAGGAAGCAAGGCTGATGCTCTTTCACGCAGTGTAGGATCACGTTAATTAATTATTTTCCCTGTTTCTAAGTTTACATTTGTTAATTTCCAACTTAAATTTTGTAATACATTTGTTTTTCTGATCTACCTTGCAAGGACAAGGTGATATGATTTACCACTTTGTGCATATTATTTTGGGGACTTTCTCTACCTTGATCAGTTTTAAGCAGGAATTTATATGTGTTATTAAACATTTGTAGATCATATATTTCCATTTGTCCGAATTACCCCAAAGCTGTAAAGCAAATCAGAGTTTGTCATTACAAAAAGGAAAAAGTTTATCATGATTTGTGGTATACAATTTAAGCCACATTAATTTTGATATACATAGTGAGTGCTAATTAGCGTATTGGCTTTCGGTGAATATTCAGGGACTCTCTCTAAAAAGAAATTACAGCAACCAACTACAAGAATTCAGTTGCTCTAACCTTTACAGTTTAACCTTTTTCTTGAAGTATTGATTAAGTTTAAGGTCAAATCCCCTTTATCTCGTTAATGGATTAGGATTGTGCAATATTTTTATTCAGGGATTCACACAAATGGGCAATCGGTGCACTCGATCTCTTTGATTAATTTGCTGATAAACACACGTATTGGGCACACGGTCCATAGATGTTTTTCAGAATCGAAATGGAAGAGATTATAACTTAACAAAAAGAAGAAGAAGAAGAAGAAGAACCAGCTGGTAAACGAAACCAGTCTTTATCAGGGTAAAAATTCTCCTCCAATTATTTGATCAATCAATCATTAATTTTGACAGTGTCCAGCAAGTTGTTGCTACTGAGAGACATATAACATGAAGTGTTTGCTAAAGGGCGAACAGATAAATGATCGGATGCTCGTTTGTCAACTCATATTAAGATCTCACCACACGTTTCTCCAGTAACCCAAATTATCATGCTTCGTCCATAATAATAATTTTTGAATCCTTATGGACCTTCCAGACCTATTCATGAATAAATAAAGCCAATCTCCAAGTCACAATATTGTTCAAGTTTGATTAAAGTTCAATTTGCAAGTTACAATGCACATCAACTTGAGATTAAAATTACGGTAATGCTCAACATGATAGCTCTTGATAATATAGATATCACTAGTAGGTTTTCAGTACCATGTAACGAGTTAAACTAAATATATTTATTTTAATTTAATAGCATATATTATGCTGTTGATCTAATAATATATAATTATAGATTCAATTTGTCCATAAAAAAATAAATTAAAATAACTTAGGTAATTTGTTATTATATGTTGATTCATACTATTTTTCTTGATTTTTGTATATGGACCTAAACTACATCACGAATAAATTGAATTGAGAATGGACCTCACTTAGCACAATGTCATGGGTTATAAGAATGGACACGAGTGTTTTAACATGGCTAGTGTCTATGTCTTGTTTTTTTCGATATATTAGGGAGATTAGTTTGGTGGATTCGGAGTAGAGTACTGCTAAACAAAGACCCAATTGTTATTTCTTTTAACTTTTGCTAGTAAGTTGAAGCATTTTAGCTCAAAAAACTTAAATGTTTTAAGCCAAATTTGGATGACGTGACATGATCTTATCGGTCAAGGATCATTTTTTTCATTGTAAATAACGACCTCACATTATTATGAAAGAATCAAAACTTTGACTTCAAAACTTTCGATCGTTTAGCAAAAAAAAAAAAAAACAATTGAACTCTATATCTCAAAACTCTTCCACTCACATACCCGACAACTTCCAAAGTTCCACCTGTTTGGATATTGACTACTCGCCCATTAGCCACACGACTTGCGTCTTACTAATATTCTTCGTTTTTCCTCCCATGTCTCTCACTATTTGCATCATTTGTACTTGGTTGGTTGATAGTTACTTCTATAAATCACAACACTAGCTCTCTATATTTTGACTCGTCCGTCGATTAGTCGTTTAATTAGTTCTCAAGAACTCCTCTTTACAATATTAAATCAAAGATAAATGATAAAATTTCATTTAATTTCATATTTTTTTAATAGAATTATCTCGTTTGTTCATTTTTTTTTTATGTTTTTCATAAATTTTGTTGTTAAAAAATACAATTTGTTTTTTGTTATGCATTCATTTTTAAATAAAAACCTGAAATAATATAAATATAAAATTCTTAAAGCATCTTAATATTTTTTTTATAAGATTGCATCGAAGAAATAAAAAAATCAATGTAAAAATTAACTAACAAATCTTTTTTAACTTTTAAAAAATATGTACATTTGACACACACACACACATAAAAAAAAACAATCAATAATGTTAATATAAAAAATATGGATTTGAATAATTAGGTAGTTCTCTTAAAATAGTACTTTAATTATTTTATTTAAGATTAATTAATTTTAGAATATTAAAAATAATTAATAGGAAATAGTTGGTGTTATGTGTGTAGATGTATAATTAATTTTTAATAAAATTAATGATCTCAATACTTTTTTGTATACATCATGACCATACTCAATGAACCGAGTGTATGGTATAAATTAAAAAAATATATTTAAAAAAACTTAAGTTGTAAAGAATATATTGAAGTTAATAAAGTACAATAAAAACAACTGAAAAAATTATTTCAAAAAATTGATTATATCAAGAATAAGCCAAAGAAGCACATGAGTTCTATTATTTATTAAAACATATTAAAAATTTATACATAAAAAATCATATGTATTAACAAATAAAATTTCATAAAAAGTAAAAATTAATTTGATGAGAATTTTTATAATAAACGACAAAATTTAAGAGATTAATTTTAAACTATAAGAAAAATAATATAATATATGTGTTTGTTCTAAAATTTAAAAACATGAGAGGCTAAAAGCATCTTTTAAAAATACAAGGGACCAAAAATATATTTTGAAAAAATAAGAGACCAGAATTGACTAAGTTAAAAGCATAAGGTGTCAAAATATCATTAAAAAACATAAGGATTCAAAAATACCTTTTGAAAAAATAGGGGACCAAAAAGGAATAAAGCATAAAATTTACAAATGAATGTCTAAAAACTATTAAAAAATCACGAAAATACTATTGTTAAAATTACAAAAACTACCATCCATATATAGTAAATGAATAGTGATTTACTATTATATCTTACAAGGGACCAAAATATATTTCAAAAAAAATAAGAGACCAAAATGGACTAAGTTAAAAACATAAGGTGTCAAAATATTATTAAAAAACATGAGGACTCAAAAATACCTTTTGAAAAAATAAGAGACCAAAAAGGAATAAAGTATAAAATTTACAAATGAATGTCCAAAAACTATTAAAAAATATGAAAATACTATTGTTAAAAATTACAAAAACTACCACCCATACAAAGTAAATGAATAGTGATTTACTTGTTATATCTTTAAAAAATGAAGTTTCAAAAATACTTTTTGAAAAAATTAGAAATCAAAAAAGAATAAAGCGTAAAATTTGCAAATAAATATCAAAAAACTAAAAAAATATTATTGTCAAAAATTACAAAAACTATCATCCATAAATAGTAAATGAAAGTGATTTGAGGCAAATGAATAGTGATTCACTTGCTCATTTGCCTCAAATATTTTAGTGTTTTACTAGTTTATTGCCCGCATTACGTTGCGGGTTACATAGAATAAAATTATTTTAAAATTTTGTATTCGATTATTTTTTTATGTTTTTCATAATTTTTCTACTTAAAAAAAAAACATGATTTATTGTTCGTTATGCATTGATTGTTAAATAAAAAATTTATAATAATTTAAACTGAAATACTAATGAAGAATTCAAAAAAAAAACTTTAAAACAATATTTTTCATAAGATTGTATTCAAAATATAAAGCTACAATTAAGGTATAGACTTGTATAAAAAATAACAAATGAAAAAAATAATTTTTATTCTTATTTAATGATGATTGGAAGATTATTTTTTGAAAGTATATGTGTTTGATTTATATATATTTATCTACAACATAATCAATAATGTTAGTATAAGAAATTGTATTTGAATTATTGGGTGATTCTTTAAAAAAAATTATTTTAATTATTTTATTTTAAAGAAATTGATTCTATAATATTAAAAAAATATTCATAACAAATTATTGGTGTTATGTGTTAAGATGTATAGCTAATTTTTAATAAAATTGATTATCCAAATTTTTTTTATAAGTTATGAACAAACCTACTAAACTGAGACAAACTATCCGAAATACACTTTTAATTTTTTATATTAAAATAATTATATATTTATATACATTCCATTATCATTTAAAAATTCTAAAAATTCATAATATATATCATATCAATTTATTTTTTAAGAAGAGAAAGCTATCATATTTTAAAATTGAGTATAAAATCTAAATGTAGAGAAAAATAAATTATATTTATCAGTAAATAAAATTTATAAAAAAAATAAAAAATTAATTGAATTAGATTTTTCATAAGAAATGACAAATTTAAAGAATAAATTTTAAATAACAAAATTTTATTAAAAGAAAATAATTGAATTGGAATTTTCATATGAAATGTCAAATTTAAAGAATAAATTTTAAATAATAAGAGTAATATAATAAAAAAAACATATGTTTATTTTAAAATATAAAAAGATATTATATATAGTGTATCATTGCCACGCTATGTAAAAAACACAAATAATCACGCTTTATGTTCCATATCTTTTGCTTAAAATTATCAATTAAAGAAAATTAAATTAAAAAAAAAAGCACCATGCATGCATAGGCCATGATTAGAAAAAATGATTTTTTTCATTTTTGGCGAATTTGATTTTGTCGAAAGGTACATGAAAGTC